GCATCACTCTGCACAGCAAGGCATGTCGTGATGTAATCTGGGTGGGGGCGGGCGGACACCGTCAGGATCGGCGTCTTTAACTACACCCAAGCCTTTGCTGGCTCCGGTTACACACCGCCTCCCTACAATTAAGGACGCAACACTCACGGATGGGCTGGCAGGAGCCAAGCCCTCAAGACACACAATCTTGCCCAAGAGGTGACTAACAACCGGAAGGGTGAAAGGGAGAGAGGGAGGGGGCAGCCAGCTAGGGTCCTTTCTCCCCCCACCATTTTCCCAGCCTAGGTCTCGTTCAGCCTGCTCTTTCCATTTTTCCAACGGTTCCGAATAAGTGACCGTGCAGGTCTTCTCCTCCAACGCCCTGCTCAAGCATTTCAGACAAATGGCTGTCCAGTCTCTTCATGAAAACTTCCAGTGATGGAGCATCCCACAGCTTCCTGGTGGCAAGCTGTTCCACTGGTTAATTGTTCTCACTGTCAAGGAAGTTTCTCCTTAGTTCTAGGTTGCTTCTCTCCTTGATGAGTTTCCAGCCGTTCTTTCTTGTCCTGCCTTCAGGGGCTTTGGAGAATAGGTGGATGCCCCTATTTTTTCTTTGTGGCAGCCCCTCAAATATTGGAAGGCTGCTATCGTGTCGCCCCCCCCCCCCCAGTCCTTCTTTTCATTAAATTAGACATACCCAATTTCCCCCAGCTTCACGCTCTCCCTGCAGTGTGGGGCTGGGCAAAGGAGTTGTAAGCTTTTGTGTGGGGGGTTCAGGACACCAAGAAGGTTCAGGCATTGAGGTTAGCCCCGATGAAAACATAAGGCAAATTCACAACTCAAGTCTTTCTCAAACTTGGCACTTTAAGACATGGGGACTTCAACTCCCAGAATTCCCCAGCCAGCAGAGCAGTTACCTGGAGACGGTGAGTTCTAGTCCCGCCTTAGCTACGAAAGCCGGCTGGGTGACTTTGGGCCAATCACCAGGAGACAGTGAGTTCTAGTCCCGCCTTAGGCATGAAAGAGGGCTGGGTGACTTTGGGCCAATCAGCAGGAGACAGGGAGTTCTAGTCCCGCCTTAGGCATGAAAGAGGGCTGGGTGACTTTGGGCCAATCACCAGGAGACAGGGAGTTCTAGTCCCGCCTTAGGGATGAAAGACGGCTGGGTGACTTTGGGCCAATCAGCAGGAGACAGGGAGTTCTAGTCCCGCCTTAGGCATGAAAGAGGGCTGGGTGACTTTGGGCCAATCAGCATGAGACAGGGAGTTCTAGTCCCGCCTTAGGCATGAAAGAGGGCTGGGTGAATTTGGGCCAATCACCAGGAGACTGGGAGTTCTAGTCCCGCCTTAGGGATGAAAGACGGCTGGGTGACTTTGGTCCAATCACCAGGAGATGGTGAGTTCTAGTCCCACCTTAGGCATGAAAGCCGGCTGGATGACTTTGGTCCAATCACCAGGAGATGGTGAGTTCTAGTCCCGCCTTAGCTATGAAAGCCAGCTGGGTGACTTTGGGCCAATCACCAGGAGACAGGGAGTTCTAGTCCCGCCTTAGGCACGAAAGCCAGCTAGGTGACTTTGGGCCAGTCTCTCTGTCTCAGCTCAACCCTCCTCACAGGATTGTTGTTGTTGTTGTGGGAAAAAGAGCAGGAGGAGGTTGTGTCGGATATGTCCACCGTCTTGAGTTATTTATAAAGACAATAAAGGTGGGAAATAGATAAATAAGAATAAATTGCAGGCTAAGCCAGCTGGCCTCTGGGATGGCTTTTCTGGGTCCCTGGAAAGAAATAAAGAGGGCCCCCACTACGTTGGCCCTGCAGAAAGGTCAGCCCTGGGCCCTGAGGGGGTCGAGGGAGTCCCCCCCCCTCTTGTATGTTGGCTGTGTCACTCAGCATGCAACGTGCAAAGACCTGGCTGTGAGAATGATTAAGCAGTGGAACAAGCCACATTTCTGAAGTGGCATGTGCTCCATTACAGATAGTCCTCGATTTACAACCGTTCGTTTAGTGACCAGTTCAAAGTTACGACGGCACCGGAAAATGCGACTTGGGACCGTTTTTCCCCACTGAACGACCGTTGCAGCATCCCCAGGGTTCTCGCGATCAAAAATTCAGGCGCTTGGCAACTGATTCACATTTACGACGGTTTCAGTCTCCCGCGGGGGTCACGTGGTCCCCCTTCTGACAAGCAAAGGCAACGGGGAAGCCGGATTCGCCGAACGACCCCGGTCCTAAACTTAACCGATGCAACGATTCATTTAACCACCGTGGCCGGAAAAGTTGTAAAACGGGGGCCAAAAAAACAAACCCCGCTTAACAAATGTGTCACGTCTTAGCAACATAAATTTTGGGCTCAATTGGAGTCGTAACTTGAGGACTACGTGCACTGGAGGTTTTCAAGAAAAGACGGGACAGGCTTTTTGCCCAAAACGTTTTGGAAGATTTCCGCACAAGGAATGGGGTTGGACTAGAACTGCGATCCCCATCCGTCCTTTGACCGGGGACCGGTTTTGTGGAAGGCCATTTTTCCACGGACCGGGGTGGGCGGAGGATGGTTTTACGTGCAATCTAGATCCCGCGCATGCGCAGATAAAGCCTTGCTCACTCACCCGCTGCTCGTGCGGCCCGGTTCCCGACGGGCTGTGGACCGGTACTCATCCACAGCCCAGAGCTCGGGGACCCCTGGATGAGAAGATCTCCACGGTCTCTTCCAATCCTATGAGTCTAACTTTCAGAGCCCTGGCCAATTGAGGCGGCTTAACGCAACTGAGCCTCTCCACCCAGGAAGACTTTCACCGTGCCAAGCCAACAGCTGGCATCTCTCCAGAGTTAAGGGGGGGTGAGTCACGACGACGTCAAATCCCCACCTCGGATTCCGCAGGGAAAGGCCACGGAGGACGACATGAGGGACGTGGCTGTGGGCAGAGCTTCCACTCACCCCTTCAGGCTACAAGCCACCCTTTTCCAAAACAAATTTTCTTCCCGTCAGCTTTGTTTCCTTCTTTCAAAGGCTGGCTGAGATCCCAGAACACGCTCGAGCTGGGCTCGACAAAGGCACCGGAGGCCTTCACACAACTCACTAAGCCGGGTTTTGAGGAATTAGCAGTGCTCCAATATCTCAGGGGGTTGCCACAAAGAAGAGGGGGTCCACTTATTTTCCAAAGCACCTGAAGGCAGGATGAGAAGCAACGGATGGAAACTAATCAAGGAGGGAAGCAACCTAAAACTAAGGAGAAACTTCCTGACAGTGAGGACAATTAACCAGGGGAACAACCTGCCTCTAAATGTTGTGGGTGCTGCATCATGGAAGTTTTTAAGAAGAGACTAGACAGCCATTTGTCTGAAATGGCACAGGGTTTCCTGCCTGAGCAGGGGGTTGGACTAGAAGACCTCTAAGGTCCCTTCCAACTCTTCTATTCTATTCTATTCTATTCTATTCCATTCCATTCCATTCCATTCTATTCTCCATTCCATTTGTTCTGTTGTTCTGTTCTATTTTCTATTCTATTCTATTCTATTCTCCATCTGTTCTGTTCTATTTTACTCTATCCTATTCTCCATTCCATCTGTTCTGTTCTGTTCTATTTTATTTTCTATTCTATTCTATTCTCCATTCCATTCCTGTTATTCTATTTTCTATTCTATTCTATTCTCCATCTGTTCTGTTGTTTTATTCTATCCTATTTTCCATTCCATCTATTCTGTTCTGTTCTATTTTCTATCCTATTTTCTTTTCTATTCTATTCTATTCTTCTATTCTCCATCTGTTCTGTTCTATTCTACTCTACTCTATTCTATATTCTATTCTGTTCTCTTCTGTTCTTTTCTATTTCTATTAATTTCTGGCTTCTGAGCAGGTTAATTGGTGCCATCTAGCCATAAGCAAATGCTCTGCTTTAAATGCCCTTTCTGCTGTCCTAGGACCCACAAGTGAACGAATGCCACGATACAGGTAAACGTTACTTGAACACAGGCATTATTACTGTCTTGAATGTACAGGCAGTCCTCGACTTACAACAGTTTGTTTAGTGACCGCTCAAAGTTACAACGGCACTGAAAATAGTGACTTACGACTTCTTCAAATGTTTTGACCCTTGTGGCATCCCCAGGGTCAAATTCAGATGCTTGGCACAACTGACTCATATTTATGACGACTGCACTGTCCTAAGGTCACAGGATCCATTTTGCGACCTTCTGAAGATTGTTGAGTTCTAGCACCACCTTAGATATAAAAACCAGCTGCTGGGTGACTCTGGGCCAATCGCCTGGAGACGGTGAGTTCTAGTCCCACTTTAGGTGTAAAAGCTGACTGGGTGACTTTGGGCCAATCACCAGGAGAAAGTGAATTGTAGTTCCGCCTTAGGAATGAAAACTGGTTCGGTGACTTTGGGCCAGTCACTAGGGGACTGTGAGTTCTAGTCCCGCTTTAGGATTCAAAGCCAGCTGGGTGCCTTTGGGCCAAACAACAGGAGACCGTGAGTTCTAGTCCCACTTTAGGTATAAAAGCTGACTGGGTGACTTTGGGCATATCACCAAGAAAAAGTGAGTTGTAGTTCCGCCTAGGTATAAAAGCTGATTTGGTGACTTTGGCCAATCACCAGGAGATGGTGAGTTCTAGTCCCACTTTAGGATTGAAAGCCAACTGGGTGCCTTTGGGCCAAACACCAGGAGACGGTGAGTTTTAATCCCACTTTAAGTATAAAAGCTGACTGGGTGACTTTGGGCCAATCACTAGGCGATTGTGAGTTCTAGTCCTGCTTTTAGGATTGAAAACCAGCTGGGTGCCTTTGGGCCAATCACCAGGAGACGGTGAGTTCTAGCCCTGCCTTAGACAGGAAAGCGGCCGGGTGACTTTAGGCCAGTCTATCTCTCTCAGTCCATCCCACCTCACAGGGCTGTTGTTCTCGGAAAAGAGGAGGAGGAAGCAGGACACGGTGCGTCTGCCGCCTTGAGTTTTATGTAGAAGAATAATGAAGGCAGGATTTAAAAAAAACTAAAATAAAATGATATATAAGGTAAAGAATACCTGCCCTCGATGACCGTGATTATATCGTTCATCTGGATTAGAAGTTTGTCGGGTTCTTCAAAATCCTGCAAGGCCCGCATGTCCGTGGGTTGAGCCTGAGGAAAGGAAGGTGAAGGGTTTACAGGGGACATCTGTTAAGTCCTCAATTTACGACAGTTCATTTAGTGCAGGGGTAGTCAAACTTGGCTCTTTCATGACTCGTGGACTTCAACTCCCAGAATTCCTGAGCCAGCCATGCTGAGGGGAAAGGGAGCCGTTTCCAAGCTGAGCCAGGCTGGCTCAGGAATTCTGGGAGTTGAAGTCCTCCAGTCATAAAGGGGCCATAGTTCCCCCATGCTGGCTCAGGAATTCTGGGAGTTGAAGTCTACGAGTCATGAAGGGGCCATAGTTTCCCCATGCTGGCTCAGGAATTCTGGGAGTTGAAGTCCGCAAGTCATGCAAGGGCCAAGGTTGCCTACCCCTGCTCTAGGCCTAGGCCACTTTATGACTCGTGGACTTCAACTCCCAGAATTCCTGAGCCAGCCATGCTGAGGGGAAAGAGAGAGGTTTCCAAGCTGAGCCATGCTGGCTGAGGAATTCTGGGAGTTGAAGTCCACGAGTCATGAAGGGGCCATAGTTCCCCCATGCTGGCTCAGGAATTCTGGGAGTTGAAGTCCACCAGTCATGAAGGGGCCATAGTTCCCCCATGCTGGCTGAGGAATTCTGGGAGTTGCAGTCCACACATCTTCAAGCTGCCAAGAATGAGAAACAGTGGCCTAGGCCCTAGGCCAGGGGTAGGCAACCTTGGCTCTTTTATGACTCGTGGACTTCAACTCCCAGAATTCCTGAGCCAGCCATGCTGAGGGGAAAGAAAGAGGTTTCCAAAGCTGAGCCACGCTGGCTCAGGAATTCTGGGAGTTGAAGTCCACGGGTCATGAAGGGGCCATAGTTCCCCCACGCTGGCTGAGGAATCCTGGGAGTTGAAGTCCACGAGTCATGAAGGGGCCATAGTTCTCACATGCTGGCTCAGGAATTCTGGGAGTTAGTCCACGAGTCATGAAGGGGGCCATAGTTCCCACATGCTGGCTCAGGAATTCTGGGAGTTGAAGTCCATACGTCATAAAAGTGCCACGTTTGCCTACCCCTGGCCTAGGCCTGTATTTCTCAACACTTGAAGATGGGTGGACTTCAATTCCCAGAATTCCTATGCGAGCATGGGGAAACTATTACCCCCTTGATGACTGGTGGACTTCAACTCCCAGAATTCCTCAGCCAGCATGGCTCAGCTTGGAAACCTCTCCCTTTCCCCTCAGCATGGCTGCCTCAGGGATTCTGGGAGTTGAAGTCCACGAGTCATAAAAGAGCCAAGGTTGCCTACCCCCCCCCCCCGATTTAGTGACTGTTCAAAGTTACAACAGCACTGAAATAAGCGACTTACGACCAGTTTTCCACACTTAATGACCGTCGCAGCATCTCCTGTGCTCACGTGGTCAAAATTCGGACGCTGGGCAACTGACTCATATTTACGACGGTCGCAGTGTCCCTGGGGACTCAATTGTGCTTGTAAGTCAAGGACTACCTGAGTTCAAGCATTGAAGGAGATCGCATTGCGGTAGTCAAGACGGGAGATGACCAAGGTGTGGGTGACCGAGACCAGGGCTTGTTCGTTACCTCCAAGAGGAAATCCCGCAGAGCCACGAAGGTGGGACGGTCTTCCGGTTTGTGGGCCCAGCACTGCAACATGACGTTGTATATATCCTGGGGACAATCTTCTGGCCGGCCCAGTTGTTCCCCTTCCTTATCGATCTTGTGCAGAATCTGCCGGGAGAAAAGCGGGATTTAAGGAGAGCCAGCCAGGTGGTTTTGTTTGGAAAACTGCCAGATCCCGCCTGTGAGTGTTACGCGAAGTCCTGGAGAGCCATTTGTCTGAAATGGTGCAGGGTTTCCTGCCTGAGCAGGGGGTTGGACTAGATGACCTCCAAGGTCCCTTCCAACTTTATTCTTATTATTATTATTAAAAAGACAATAGAAGTCCTCGGCTTACAACGGTTTAGGGACTGCTCAAAGTTACAACGGCACGAACCGAAGCGACTTAGCACCGTCTGCAGCGTCCTCGTGGTCACGTGATCAAAATCCAGATGCTTGGCAACCGGCTCCTATTTATAACGGTCCCAGTGTCCGTGTGTGTGTGTGTGTGTGTGTGTGTGTGTGTGTGTGACGTGATCCCCTTTTGCGACCTTCCAACAAGCAAAGTCAATGGCAGAAGCCACTTAACCACCATCTTGCTAACTTAACAACTGCATGGATTCATTTAACGAGCGTGCCAAGGAAGGTCGCAAAACGGGGGCAAAAACTTGCTTTGCAAAGGTCTCACTTAACGACAGTAATCTGACAAGCAAATTCAATAGATTCACATAATGACCTAACATAATGTTACTAACATAATAATAATAATAATAATAATAATAATAATAATAATAATAATAATAATAACAACAACAACAATTGGAAGGGACCTTGGAGGTCATCTAGTCCAACCCCCTGCTCAGGCAGGAAACCCTACACCATTTCGGACAAATGGCTGTCCAGTCTCTTCTTAAAAACCTCCAGTGTTGGAGCACCCACAACTTCTGGTGGCAAGGAGTTCCACTGGTTAATTGTTCTCAGGAAGTTTCTCCTTAGTTCTAGGTTGCTTCTCTCCTTGGTTAGTTTCCATCAGCTGCTTCTTGTCCTGCTTACTTACTAACAACAGCGGCAAGGAAGATTGCCGGGGGCCAAACTCACACCGAGGGTCCCACTTAGCAGCAGCGGAAACTTTGGGGGTCCGTGGGGGGTCCCAAGTCATGGACTCCCTCCAGACGCCCTAATATTTTTTCTCCCATCCTACCTGGCTGCCGTTCAGGCCGACCCACGGCTCCTGTCCGTAAGTGAACATCTCCCAGAGGGTGACGCCAAACATCCAGGTGTCGCTGGCGTGGGAAAACGTGCGGGTCTTCAGACTCTCCGGGGCACACCTGATCCGTGATGGGGAGGGGGGGAGGCAACCCAGGTAGGGGAGAGAAAGCAGACAGAGATCTGGTCACGCTCTTGAGAGGACATGGCTTCTTCGAGACCCACCGATTTCCCCCCCCAAAAAATCTACTCCTAGAGTTGAAAAAGAGAGGAGTCCTTCTGATTCCCATCAAGCTGTGATTGCGCAGTGCCAGGGAGCGCGTCTCGAATCCTTAACCTGGTTAGTTGAGGAGCAAGGGATGCACGCTCAGAGTCTAGTGGTTAAGCACCAGCTAGAAGCCAGAATACTGGGAGTTCTAGTTCTGCCTTAGGCATGAAAGCCAGTTGGGTGACTTTGGGCCAATCACCAGGAGACAGGGAGTTCTAGTTCCAGTTTAGCCACAAAAAACAGTTGGGAGTCTTTGAGCCAATCACCAGGAGATGGTGAATTCTAGTCTCGCTTTAGGTATGAAAGCCGGCTGGGTGACTTTGGGCCAATCACCAGGAGACAGGGAGTTCTAGTCCCACCTTAGGCATGAAAGCCAGTTGGGTGACTTTGGGCCAATCACCAGGAGACAGGGAGTTCTAGTTCCAGTTTAGCCACAAAAAACAGTTGGGAGTCTTTGAGCCAATCACCAGGAGATGGTGAGTTCTAGTCTTCCCTTAGACATGAAATCCAGCTGGGTGACCTTGGGCTAGTCTGTCTCTCAGCCCTGATTCTCCCTGCAGATGCTGCTACTCCAGGGCATTTGTGAACCGAGAAAGTGGGTTAATTAGGGTAAAAGGTTGCAACAGCAGTTAATATTTTAGCTTAGCTAATATTTAACTGTGGGGTCCTTTCTGCTCTCTGAGCTTGGTTGTTTGTGGAGAGGAGGAGGAGGAGGAGGAGGTGGTGGTGGAGGAGGAGGAGGAGGAGGATGATTATGGGGTGCTAGTGCTCTCTGAGCTTGATGGTTTTCTTGCAGATGTTTCATTACCAAACTAGAAGCAATCTGGAATTAAGGAGAAACTTCATGACAGTGAGGACAATTAACCAGTGGAACAACTTGCCACCAGAAATTGTGGGTGCTCCATCATTGGAGGTTTTTAAGAAGAGATGGACAGCCATGTCTGAGATGGTATAGGTTCTCCTGCTTGAATGGGGGGCTGGACTAGAAGACCTCCAAGGTCCCTTCCAGCTCCTATCCTATCCTATCCTGTCTTTCTGCTCTATTCTACTCTACTCTATGCTACGCTACTCTATTCTATTCTACTCTTCTCTTATTCTCTTCTCTTCTATTCTTTTGTCTTTCTGCTCTACTCTACTCTATGCTACGCTACTCTATTCTACTCTACTCTTATTCTCTTTTCTTCTATTCTATTCTATTCTATTGTCTTTCTGCTCTATGCTACGCTACTCTATTCTACTCTACTCTTCTTATTCTCTTCTCTTCTCTTCTCTACTATACTATTCTATATTTATTCTATTCTATTCTATTCTATTCTATTCTATTCTATTCTATTCTATTCTATTCTATTCTATTCTATTCTATTCTATTCCATTCCATTCCATTCCATTCCATTTAACATCATCAGTGATAGAAGGGAGAGGGGTTTGCGGAGATGAGGAGGAGGAGAAGGACTACGACAACTGTGGAGTCTTTGGTGCTCTCTGAGTTTGGTTGTTTCCTTGCGGATGTTTCATTATCAAACTAGGTAACATCATGCAATGCCATACTAGAAACTAGTGTAACATCATCAGACCAGCACTGATAATGTTACGTAGTTGGGTAATGAAATATCTGCAAGAAAACCACCCAGTTCAGAGAGCACCCACAATCGTCCTTCTCTCTGCTAGCCCCCCTCCCTTCTAGCACTGATGATGTTGCCTAGTTGGGTCATGAAACGTCTGCAAAAAAAGGACCAAGCTCAGAGAGCACCAAGAACCCCACAGTCCCAGTTTTTTTCTTTTCCTTTTCCTCCTCCTCTCTGCAAACCCCACTCCCTTCTAGCACTGATCACGCTACCTAGCTGGGTGACGAGACGTCTGCAAGAAAACCGCCACGCTCAAGAGAGCACCCAGGACCCCATAACCCTTTTCTTCCTCCACCTCCTCCTCCTCCATTCCACAAACCCCCCTCTCCCTTCCAGCACTGATGATGCTACCTAGCTGGGTCACGAAACGTCTGCAAGAAAACAAGCAAGCTAGGAGACCACCCCAACCCCGTTTCAGCACGCCGTGTGAACGCAGCCCAGGGTCCTTTGCGAGGAAAGAGGGAAGGAGACCCTCACCACGCGAAGGGGACCTTGCGGTGCTCCTGCATGATGTAATGGTCGTTGTTCTTGGGCAGGGCCCGCATGAGCCCGAAGTCGCCGATCTTGACCAGGTCATTCGCAGCCAGCAGGATGTTCCGGGCGGCCAGATCTCGGTGGATGAAGCGCTTGGACTCCAGGTAGGCCATCCCGCGGGCGATCTGGATGGCGTACTGGCAGAGGGTGGCGATCAGGAAGTGCCCCAGGTTCTTGCGAAGGCGGTCCAGCAGCGAGCCCAGGGGGGCCAGTTCCGTCACCTGCGCGGAAAAAGGGTGACACGGCCCAGAAGAACAATAAGAAGAGTAAGAATTGTGTTTACTTATTGTGGGAAAATGTGTATTACTGGAAGAAGAGAGGATGCATTAGAAGGTGTAATACTGGATTTGATAATAATAATGATAATGATGATGATGATGATGATGATGATGATGATGATGATAATAATAATAATGATGATGATGATGATGATGATGATGATGATGATGATGATGATGAAGAAAAGGACCTTGGAGGTCATCTAGTCCAACCCCCTGCTCAGGCAGGAAACCCTATACCATTTCGGACAAATGGCTGTCCAATCTCTTCTTAAAAACCTCCAGTTTAATTAATTAATACTAATTAATATACTAATTATGGAATTATCAAATTTAATCATTGTTAATTAAAATTATGGCCTTCCCCCCCCTCAAATATATAAACCAAGACAACATGCTGTACACCAGGCACTGGAGATTGCTATTGTTAAAAACCAATTAAATATTCTTTAAAAAATTGTTTCACTTGTCAACATAAATTTTGAGCTTAATTGTGATCGTAACTTGAGGACTACCTCCCTCATTATCCCGCCTGCTGATGTCCCTGCAAAGGCAGCTAGAGATGGTACATAAATAGAATAGAATAGAATAGAATAGAATAGAATAGAATAGAATAGAATAGAATAGAATAGAATATAGAAAATTACTGGAATAGAATAGAATAGAATATAGAAAATTACTGGAATGGGAATAGAATAGAATAGAATAGAATAGAATAGAACAGTAGAAAATTACTAGAATAGAATAGAATAGAATAGAATATAGAATAGAATATAGAATAGAATAGAATATAGAATAGAATAGAACAGAACAGAACAGTAGAAAATTACTAGAATAGAATAGAATATAGAATAGAATAGAATATAGAATACAATAGAATATAGACTAGAACAGAACAGAACAGTAGAAAATTACTAGACTAGACTAGAACAGAACAGTAGAAAATTACTAGAATAGAATAGAATAGAATAGAATAGAATAGAATAGAATAGAATAGAATAGAATAGAATAACGAGTTGGAAGGGACCTTGTGGGTCATCTAGTCCAACCCCCTGCCCAAGCAGGATTCCCTACACCATTTCTGACATGTTCACCCCTGCCCCCTTTCCTTACAAGGGGAGGACGCTCACGGGGGGGGGGGGGCGCCTTCCCCAGTTTTCCGGAGCCCTGCCCAGCCCTTCTCACCATCTTCATGGGATTGGAGAGCACCACCCCGTAGAGGCGGATGAGGTTGACGTGGTCCAGGGAATGCATGGCGTTGACCTCCCGGATGAAGTCGTCCAGGGCTTCCGGCTGGTTCAGGACATCCGTCTTCAGACACTTGACCGCCACGTTCAGCTGCGGAGGGAAGAAGGCAAAGAGGAAAAGGGCGATCAATCTTGCACAGGATCTAGAATTCATTCCGGGCCTTTTCAAGATTAACCTGAGTAGATTTTATGTCAGTGTGGGCAACTACGGCCCTTTCACGGCCTGTGGACTTCAACTCCCAGAATTCCTGAGCCAGCCAGGCTGGCTCAGGAATTCTGGGAGTTGGAGTCCACAGGTCCTAAAAGGGGCATATAAAAGATAAATAGACACACACACAAACTTTTACTGGTATTTATTTACGTTTTTAGTATATATCTGTGTGTATATGTGTATTTATGTATTTGTATGTATGTGTGTGTGCAGGGCTTTTTTTCAGCCGGAACGCGGCGGAACCGCGTTCCGGCACCTTTTTCCGGGCCGGCCGCACCGGAAATAGCCCCTCCCACACCGGAAATAGCCCCTCCCAAATTTTACTTGCATTCCTGTTCTCTAAAGGGGCGGTCCTAGGGTTTGATGAGGGCGTGGCCAGGTTTGAGTTCCGNGTCCAGCTAGTAGCTGCAAGCACCCAGGCCCACCCCCCATCCTCGCTTACCTCCTTGCCCGAGGGGGCGCACCACTCCCCGCGGCGCACCACCCCGAAAGAGCCGTCGCCCAGCTTCTCCAGCAGCACCAGGTCCTTCTCGCTGATCAGGCAGGTCAAGGCCTGCTGCTGGGCCTCCTCCAGGGCCACCGGGCTGGGCTGCTTGGGCAGGAGACCCGGGGGCAGCGGGGGCATCTCCGAGTCGGGGCGCTTGCCGCTGAACACCTATGGGGGACCCCAAGCCCAAGACCACAGTTACGGACGAGAACCACGTATTTTTATCCCACCTTACATTGCGTGTAACTCAATCTCTCTCCCCCCCCCTCCTGCTTTTCCCCTCTACAACATCCCTGTGAGGTGGGTTCAGTTGAGAAAGGGTGACTGGCCCCAAGTCACCCAGCTGGCATTCATGGCTAAGGCGGGACTCGAACTCAGAGTCTTCGGGTGATTGGCCAAAAGTTACCCACGCAGCTTTTATGGCTAACGCAGGATTCGAACTCAGAGTCTCTTGGTGATTGGCCGAAAGTTACCCAGCCAGCTTTCATGGCGAAGGCGAAAGTCGAACTCAGAGTCTCCTACTGATTGGCCGAAAGTTACCCAGCCAGTTTTTATGGCTGAGGCAAGACTTGAACTCAAGAGTCTCCTGGTGATTGGCCCAAAGTCACCCACACAGCTTTGATGGCTAAGGCAGGACTCGAACTCAGAGTCTCCTGGTGATTGGCCCAGTTACCCAGCCAGCTTTCATGGCTAAGGCAGGACTTGAACTCAGAGTCTCCTGGTGATTGGCCCCAAAACACCCAGTTCGCTTTTGTGCCTAAGGCAGGACTAGAACTCACCATCTCCTGGCTTCTAGGTTCACTAAAATAGGGTTTTTGGCCCTATTTTCTTAATGTTTTGATTGTCTTAACCTTCTGAGATTTTCTCCGTTTAATTTTTCTTTTCCTGTATTTTTTCCAATGTGCTTACCCTAACCCTCCCGTTGCGCCTTTTCTATCACTGACCGGTATCAGATTTAATGTAGATGCACACATGTGTACACAACCTCACACCCCTATGTACTCAGTAGTGTAATAACACCATAGGGGTAACTCTGGTACTTTTCTCTAAAAAGTTATTTTTTATTTAACGGATTCTCTTTTCTTGGCAACCAACATTGTTTGCTGTTTTCTTTTCTTAGGAGTGTAAATTTCAACTTTCCCAAGTTACTTAGCGGTCCTGGGATTTCCTGGTGGTGAGTCATCCCAGGACTAACCAAATCACGATCTGATCCGATTATCATTTTTCAAAGACAGTCAAGGTCGCTAGTTCCTTTCTCCTACATTATTGTGACTCCTACATCCTGCCCAATGCACTGATCATCAAGACGGTTCTATCAACCTTTCTACTGTTCTTTTTAAAGATTCTGCAGCTTTCTAGTCCTCAGGAGAGGCCCTCTCTCACCTTGCTCATCCAGGATTTCCGTTTGCACACAGCCTTCCTCCTCTTCACGGCCTCCCAGAGGCGTCTCTGCCCTACAGAAACAAACAACAAGTGGTCACAAAACCAGGAGAAAAAAAAAATCAAGTCCTCTCCAGATGTTTCATTCTAAGCATTTGCTCCAGGTTGTAAGTTTTTTGGGGATAGGGAATTCCACCAACATTGCAGAAGGTTGGCGCTGTTCTCTACTAAATAATAATAATGATGATGATGATGATGATGTTGTTGTTGTTAAGGGACCTTGGAGGTCATCTAAATATTGAAGAATAGAATAGAATAGAATAGAATAGAATAGAATAGAATAGAATAGAATAGAATAGAATAGAATAGAATAGAATAGAATGGAATAGAACAGAACAGAATTACAAATAGAATATAGAATAGAATAGAATATAGAATAGAATTACAAATAGAATATAGAATAGAATAGAAAATATTGAATAGAATGGAATAGAACAGAACAGAATTACAAATAGAATATAGAATAGAACAGAATATAGAATAGAATAGAATTACAAATAGAATATAGAATAGAATAGAATAGAAAATATTGAATAGAATGGAATAGAACAGAACAGAATTACAAATAGAATATAGAATAGAATAGAATAGAAAATATTGAATAGAATGGAATAGAACAGAACAGAATTACAAATAGAATATAGAATAGAATAGAATAGAATAGAATAGAATTACAAATAGAATATAGAATAGAATAGAATAGAAAATATTGAATGGAATGGAATAGAATGGAATAGAACAGAATAGAATAGCAGAGTTGGAAGGGACCTTGGAGGTCATCTAGTCCGACCCCCTGCTCAGGCAGGAAACCCTATACCATTTCAGACAAAGGGCTGACCAGTCTCTTCTTAAAAACTAATCCAGCCAGTTCCAAAATACGGAATTAGAAGTTCTCAAACTTTGCTTACAAGTAGTCCTCAACTTACAACCGTTCGCTTTAGTGACCGAATTTACAATGTCACTTGAAAAAAGCGAGTTAGGGCCGTTTTTCACACTTACGACCATTGCAGCATCCACATGAACACGTGATCAAATTCAAGTGCTTAGCAACTGGCATGGATTTATGACGTCATGGGATCCTTCTTTGATGACCTCTCCCAGCCAGCTTCCGAGAAACAAATTCAATGGAGGAAGCCAGATCCGCTTAATGACCGAATGCTTCATTTAACGACTGCAACCATTTGCTTAGCAGTTGTAAAACGGGGCACAACTCATTTAACTGTCCTGCTTAGCAGCGGAATTCGGGGGCTCCACTGTGGTCTTCTGCATGACAAGATACTCGTCTTACGACGATTCATTTAGCGACCGTTCGGAGTTACAACGGCGCTGAAAACAGTGACTTATGACCGTTTTCCACACTTACGACCATTGCGTCATCCCCAAGGGTCACGTGATCAAAATTCAGACGCTTGGCAACTGACTCGCATTTACGACGGCTGCAAGGTCCCAGGATCATGTCTGTCTCCTTTTGTGACCTTCTGACAAACCAAGTCAATGGGGAAGCCCGATTCACTTCACAACCGTGTTGCCAACTGAACAACCGCAGCGATTCACTTAACAACGGTGGTAAAACGGGGCAAAATTCACTTAACATCCGTCTCGCTTAGCAAAAGAAATACTGGCCTCCAAAATTACAGTTGCACATATACAAAAGTCTGTGAATTTTCCACCTAAGTTTTGCAAAACTGCCAGGTCTGGAGAGGTGGGTTAGGGGGGCCGAAGGACCCACTCACCCGGTCGGCCCATTCCGATTTTCTCCAGGTCCTCATTCTTGACATACTCGAAGTGCGACAGGCGAGTGACGTTGAGGTCATCGCGGATGCGGAGGAAGTACTGCTGAAGCTGGACTTCGGTCAGGAGTTCGAGTAGCCAGTCGGTGCCTTCATCAGCCTGCATGCCACAGCTCAGCTTCTGCAAAGGAAGAGCCACGTCAGGATGGGCAGCCACCAAGGAGGACCACGGAGCTGGGTCTGAAAGAGGGAAGTGCACCTCAAGGAAGGCCAGGTCCTCACCTAGAGCGTCTGGAGGAGATAGACGTTGCCCGTAGAGGCAGAGAAGGCGAGGGGAGGGGAGGGGAGGGAAGAGGAGAAGAGGAGAGGGAATAGAATAGAATAGAATAGAATATAGAATATAGAATAGAATAGAATATAGAATAGAATAGAATTAAGAATAGAAGAGAAGAGAAGAGAAGAGAAGAGAATAAGGAATAGAATAAAAACAGGAATAGAATAGAATTAAGAATAGAATAGAATAGAATATAGAATAGAATAGAATAGAATATAGCATAGAATAGAATAGAATTAAGAATAGAATAGAATAGAATAGAAAATATGGAAGGGAAGGGAAAATATGGAATAGAATAGAACAGAATAGAATAGAAAATAGAAAAGAACAGAATATTTATTGAGAAGAGAAAAAGGATAAAGAATAGAATATTGAAAAGAGAATAGAATATAATAAGGAATAGAATAGAATAAGGAATAGAATAGAAATAAAATAGAAATAGAATGGAATAGCAGAGTTGGACGGGAGCTTGGAGGTCTTCTAGTCCAACCTCCTGCTCAGGCAGGAAACCCTATACTATTTCAGACAAATGGCTGTCCAGTCTCTTCTTGAAAACCTCCAATGATGGAGCACCCACAACTTCTGGTGGCAAGCTGTTCCACTGGTTATTTGTTCTCACTGTCAGGAAGTTTCTCCTTATTTCTCGGTTAGTTATCTCTTTGATAAAAGTTTCTATCAGTTGCTTCTTGTCCTGCCTTCAGGCGCTTTGGAGAATACCTTGACTCCCTCTACTTTGGGGCAGCCCGAGATATTGGAACAGTTATCATGTCCCCCCTCGTCCTTCTCTTAGACCTACCCAATTCCAGCAACCGTTCCTTGTATGTTTTAGCCCCCAGAAGCCAAAGCACAAGGCAGACTAATTATATGACCATCTCTAGACCATCCTAGAGGTTCTAGAACTCTTCTGGAGGAAGTTTCATTATTACACAGCTGCTCAACCTTGTTGGTGGATCCCCTACAGATAAGGGATGTCCAACCTCTGGACAACCTGAAGACTTGTGGACTTCAACTCCCAGAATTCCCCAGCCAGCATAAGCCCACAGGTCTTCAAATTGCTAAGGTTGGACACCCCTATTCCAGATGACCCCCATCTTCCATGGTGAAACCCCCCAGGTTTTCTCACCAGCTTTCCCTCGCCTTGTCCTCCCCCAAAGTGCTGGACTTCGACTCCCAGAAGCCCCTGGCATGCAAAGCCAGAGGATTCTGGGAAATCCAGTAGGGGTAAGCTGCTGTACAACATGAATGAAGGAAAAGAGTTGCAACGCCACTGCAAGCAATTTTATTCTAGTCCCGCCTTAGGCATGAAAGACGGCTGGGTGACTTTTGGATTCTGAGTTCCGGTCCTGCTGTCTGAGTGACTTTGAGCCAGTCTCTCCCCCCCCCATATCTATCTATCTATCTATCTATCTCCCTCTCTCTCTCTCTCACACACACACACACACACACACACACACGAAGTGTGTCATATAAGTTTGACAGCTTGCGTTTTTTGGTAAAAGTAATAAAGGCAGGATTCAAATAAGTAAAGAGATCAGAAATATAAGTAAAATAAGTAAAGACAGTCACTTGTCTGAGATGGTATAGGGCAGGGATTTTCAAACTGGGCCCTTTTATGACTTGCGGACTTCAACTCCCAGAATTCCTGAGCCAGTATGGGGGAAACTATGGCCCCTTCATGACTTGCGGACTTCAATTCCCAGAATTCCTCATCCAGCATAGGGGAACTATGGCCCCTTCATGACTCGTGGACTTCAACTCCCAGAATTCCTCATCCAGCGTGGGGGAACTATGGCCCCTTCATGACTCGTGGACTTCAATTCCCAGAATTCCTCATCCTGCATAGGGGAACTATGGCCCCCTCATGACTCGTGGACTTCAATTCCCAGAATTCCTCATCCAGCATAGGGGAACTATGGCCCCTTCATGACTTGCGGACTTCAACTCCCAGAATTCCTCCGCCAGCATGGGGGAACTATGGCCCCTTCATGACTCGTGGACTTCAACTCCCAGAATTCCTCAGTCAGCATGGGAGAACTATGGCCCTTCATGACTTGCAGACTTCAACTCCCAGAATTCCTCAGTCAGCATGGGAGAACTATGGCCCTTCATGACTTGCGGACTTCAACTCCCAGAATTCCTGAGTCAGCGTGGGGGCCCCTTCATGACTTGCGGATTTCAACTCCCAGAATTCCTCAGCCAGCATAGGGAAACTATGGCCCCAAAGCCGGCTGAGGAATTCTGGGAGTTGAAGTCCACAAGTCATAAAAGGGCCAAGTTTGAAGACCCCTGGTGTAGGGTCTCCTGCTTAAGCAGGGGGCTGGACTAGAAGACCTCCCAGGTCCCTTCCAGCTCTATTCTATTCCAATCTGAAACCGCTCCAATGCTTCCCTATGGAGAGGAAGCCTGCTCCCTATTTCCCAGGACCCCATGGCCTACCTCCCACTTTGCTTGGGGTGTGTGTGTTGTTTGTGTGTCTGCAGTGTCACAATGCCGGGTCTGGCATGAGATGGAGCAGCAGCTGGCACCTCTATCCACAGCCCCCTCCCTCTGCATCGGTGTGGGTGCGCATTCTGCCCCCCCACCCACCCAAAGGGGCATGTGTGGGAGACAAACAGGGCTTCTGTTCGGGGGTCCCAACGATTATTCCACATGCGCCTCACGGTGGGTTCCTGGGAGGAAAAATTCTCTGCGAAGCAGAATCTGGATTTTGCATCACAATCGCTTCGGCACAAAAGGGAAGGCCCGATTGTGCAGGAAACGACAACCCCGGGGTCCTGGGAACTGGTCTGAAGGAGGTGGGATGGAGCAGGGGGAGGGGGGAATCAGGAAGAATTGAGGAGGAGGAAGAAAGGAGAGGAAGGAGGGGGGGAAGAGAGAAACAGCTGTGCACAAACAGCAGTCCTGGGGGGGGCGAATTTTGCAATGCCAGCTTTTTTACAACTGGGTAGAAACTACAATTAGAGTAACAGAATCACAGTGCTGGGAGGGACCTCGGAGGTCTTCTAGTCCAACCCCCCTGCTCTGGCAGGAGACCCTATACCATTCCAGACAAGTGGCTGTCCAGTCTCTTTTTAAAAACCTCCAGTGATGGAGCACCCACAACTTCTGGTGGCAAGCAGTTCCACTGGTTTAATTGTTCTTACTGTCAGGAAATTTCTCCTCAGTTGTAGGCTGGATCTCCCTCTGACGAGTTTCCAGCCACTGCACCTCCCTCCCTCTCTCCCCCCCCCTCCCTCCCATCCTTGTTAAGTCGAGGACTACCTGTATAAGCTGGGGAAAAAGGATCAGTGAGGTCATTCAAGGATTATATCTGTATATTGATCGGGGGTTTATTATAAAAGCCTCAACATGTTTCTTTTTAATTCTATCTATCTATCTATCTATCTATCTATCTATCTATCTATCTATCTATCTATCTATCTATCTATCTATCTATCTATCTATCTATCTACCTACCTACCTACCTACCTACCTACATACATACATAGAGATATAGATATAGATAGATATAGATAGATAGATATAGTTAGAGATAGATAGATAGATAGATAGATAGATAGATAGATAGATAGATAGATAGATAGATAGATAGATAGATAGATGGATAATATAGATATAGACAGATTAGATAGATATATAGATAGATAGATAGATAGATAGATAGATAGATAGATAGATAGATAGATAGATAGATAGATAGATAGATAGATAGATAGATAGAGAGAGAGAGAGATAGATAGATAGATAGATAGATGGATGGATAATATAGATAGAGATAGATAGATAGATAGATAGATAGATAGATAGATAGATAGATAGATAGATAGATATAGATAGATAGATAGATAGATAGATAGATAGATAGATAGACAGATTAGATGAATGCCTTTTTTTCCCTTTTTTTTTCTTTTAGAGCACCCTGTTTGAAATAGCTATCCCAGTACTCCCTTAATTCTTTGTTAGCAATTCAAATTTTGGAAGACAGATTAGATATATAGATAGAAAGATATAGAGATAGATAGATAGATAGATAGATAGATAGATAGATAGATAGATAGATAGATAGATAGATAGATAGATAGATAGATGGATAATATAGATATAGAGATAGATAGATAGATGGATGGATGGATGGATGGATAGATGGATAGATAGATAGATAGATAGATAGATAGATAGATAGATAGATAGATAGATAGATGATAGATAGATAGATAGATAGATAGATAGATAGATAGATAGATAGATAGATAGATAGATAGATAGATAGATAGATATTGTGGTTGCCTGCCACCCAGAATTTCCCCCCGCTAGACAGGCAGCCATATACATTTCTTAAATAAACATGCAAACTCAAGACTGATTTTCTTTCCAATTCGCCTGCAAAGGGCTGAGCTACCTAGGTTTAAGGGGCAGCCCCGCACCTAGAAAGCTAGCTCTTCAGGTTAGCCCCGGGGTCTTCAAACTTGGCCCTTTTGTGACTGGCGGACTTCCACTCCCAGAATTCCTCAGCCAGCGTGCCACGCTGGCTGAGGAATTCTGGGAGTGGAAGTCCGCCAGTCACAAAAGGGCCAAGTCTGAAGCTCTCCCGGGGTTAGCCTCTCCATCCCTTGACTTACTAGCTGCCCATCCGCAAGTTGCTTTGCGTGATTTATGCATCTGGAACACGTTTTGGCTCCTGTCCTTCACAGCTGGCCTGCAACTGTGCAGGTGTGCTATCGCTATCTGAAGGCCATTCAACCGCTCTCCCAGTTGAACATCTGCCCTTTCTGGAAGCCTGTTTGTCTCCTTTCCAAGGACAGCAGCTGTTCATCCTTGGCCAAGGGACAAAT